CTAGAATAGGTATTGTCTTCAACTGAAGAATTTCTCTTAACTTGAATTTTAATACCTAATAATCATTTGTGTTAGGTATAATACTTTGTGATTACTGGAATTTCAGTTGAATCATAATCACTCCTAACATTTCTTTGGTGTCCGTACACTTTAGATTCTGGTGCTTTCTGCGCTCACCTTCTGAATGTCTAGTCAACAGGTATCCAGCATAACTGAATTTTTTTTCTGTCAAGTTAGTAGTTTTTTAATTCTGCCGTGTCTCCATCACATTATCTCAGTCACTTTTTATTTGGTTGACTGAAGCAGGAAAAGAAAGGTAGAAAATAAAAACTGAGTAATGTAGAGTACCAGTAGATGCTCTCTTACATGCTTAGGCAATTGGATTCCCTTTTCTTTTTTACTTCCTTCATGTTATAAAACTATACATCTATTCCTTATGCTATGCAGCTTTGCAGAAGCCCACTGACATAGGCCAAGTATATGTCCCTGACCCATTGATGCTACTCTGTCTCCATGAGCTCCTTGGGCCAGTGGAATGTTAGTGAGCAGAGAGGTGTTTTGTTTTTTTTTTTCCCCTTGGGTAGAGACAGGGTCTTACTCTGTTGCCCAAGCAGGAGTGCTGTAGTATGATTGTAGGTCACTGCAGCCTCAAACTCCTGGGCACAGTTGATCTCCTGCTTCAGCCTCCTGAGCAGCTGGGACTATAGGTGCTTGACACCACACCTGGCTAATATTTTGGTTTTTGTAGAGATGGTGTCTTACATTGTTGCCCACATAGATCTTAAACTCTTGTCTTCAAGCAACCCTCCTGCCTCAGCCTCCCAAAATGCTGGGATTTCAGATCTGTGCCACTGTGTCCAGCCTTGAGCAGAAGTCTTAAATGTGTTCCTTTGATTTGACTTGGCCTACTGCACTCCTCTTTTCTGCCGAGAAGCTGCATATATTCACTTGCCCTCAGTGACTGGGCCAAATATTGAAGACACATGGGAGTAGTTATGAAACTGACCATAGTACTGTGTCTAGGTAGCCCTGTCATGCCTAGCCTAGGTCAGCTGACTCAGAGTCAGTCTGAAGACTCATGAGCATAAAGGAAATATTGTAAACCACTGAGATTTTGAGATTGGTAGTTACCCAGGAAAAACTGGTATACAATCAAATTCTGTGCTCACCAGTACTTTGAACGCATATTTTTAGTTTTTTCTCTGTAGCTACAATGAGTTCAAGCACAATTTATAGGACAAAGAAGATGGAAGAAAATGTTTTTAAGCAGAAAAGTAAAGTAGGACAGCCAAACTGGACTAATTGCAGTATTATTCCTTAAGGAGTATTATTAGATTCTAAAATTATCAGCTAATTTTTAACATTGGAACATTTTAAGTGAAAAGAGGTGCTTCACTAAAACAAATATATCACTTTCAAAAATCTAATGCTGATTTTTTTCAGTACAAGGATTCTTCAGTTAAGGAATTACACTAATGGTATGCCTCTTTGTTTATGTAGCTGTAAAACACTGTAATTTCATATGAATCAATCTCAGGAATATTCATGAAAGACTGGAAATCAAGAATGAGAGAAAGAGACTTGAAAAATAAGTCTAGGAGACACATTATTCATCTGACCAGAATTCCAAAGACAGAGAAAAGAAAAGTTGGAAGAGAAGATTTAGTCAGCATAGTAAGTGAAAGGGCCCAGAGACAAATGAGAAGAAAAACGTTAAGCTATATCCTGGTAAAAATTCTGAAATTCAATGTAGAGAATAAATCCTAGATTTCTCCCAACAGAAGTTTGGGATAAGATAATAGTGGCCTAGACTAAGGTTGTGGTTAAAGAAATGGAGAAAACATGGCAGATTCGAAATACATTTTGAATTGATAATCTGCAGAACTGCGAATGCATTTGTCGCACAGGGCAGGGAGGAAAAAATTAACTTGTGATTTCTAGGCCTCTGGATTTAACACATAAATGGGCGGTGGCAAATACATAATTTTTTTTGAGGTAAAATTCACATATCATAAAATTCACCATGTTAATAATATACAAATGTTCTTAGTATATTTACAGTGTCGTGCAGCTGTCACTGCCATCTATCCGTCACTCTAGGCTGAAACCTTGTACCTGATAAGCAGCCATTCCTCATTCCTCCCCTCTCCAGCCACTAGCAAGCACTCATATGCTTTCCATCTCTGTGGATTTGCCTCTCCTGAGCACTTCTTAGAAATGAAATAATACAACATGTGGCCTTTTGTGTCTGTCTTCTTCCACTTATTATAATGTTTTCAAGGCTTTTGAATGTTGTAGCATGAATCACACCTTCATTATTTTTATGGCTAGATAGTATTTCATTGTACGAATATGCCACATCTTGTTTATACATTCACCAGTTAATGGCATTTGGGTTGTTTTTACTTTTTGGCTATTATGAATAATGCCGCTGTGAACATCCATGTTCAAGTTTTTGCTTGAAAACCTGTTTTCGTGTCTTTTGGATATCTACAAAGGAGTGAAATGGCCAGGTGATATGGGAATTCTGTGTTTAACTTTTTGAGGAACCACCATCTTTCATTTCCACCAGCAATATATGAAAGTTTTAATTTTACGACCAACATTGTTTTGTTCTCTCATTTTTTTATTATGCCCATTTCAGTGGGTGTAAAGTGGTCTCTCATTTTGGCTTTGTTTTTCTGTAATGATTGTTGAGCTGTTTTACATGTCCTTATTGGCCATTTGTATATCTTCTTTGAAGAAATGTTTATTCAAGTACTTTGAATTTTTTTTTCTTTTTCAAAACATGGTCTCACTCTGTCACCCAGGCTAGAGTGCAGTGGTGTGATCATGGCTCACTGCAGCCTCAACCTTGTGGGCTCAAGTGATCCTCCCACTTCAGCCTCCCAGGTAGCTGGGACTACAGGTACATGCCACTGCACCTGGCTAGTTTTAAAAAAAATTTTTTTTTGTAGAAATGGGGTCCCACTCCATTGCCCAGGCTGGTCTCAAACTTAGGGACTGGAGTGATCCACTCGCCTTGCCCTCTCAAAGTGTTGGGATTATAGGCATGAGTCAAGACACCCAGGTTTGCCCATTTTTATTTTGGGTTGTCTTTTTGTTATTGAATTGAAGTAGTTCTTTAAACATTCTATTGAAAGTAATGGCAGCAGACCACAATTACTTTTGCACCAACCTAATGAATCAAGGGCGTTCATCTTTTGGCTTCCATGGGCCTCATTGACAGAAGAATTGTCTCAGGCCACACATAAAATACACTAACAACAACCATAGATTATGAGCTTTTAAAAAACCGCAAAAAAAAAAGAAAATCTCATAATGTTTCAAGAACGTTTTTGAATTTGTTTTGGGCTACATTCAAAGCTGTCTTTGTTTGCATGCAGCCCGTGTGTTAGGTAAGCTTGTACTAGATGTTAGACTCCTATATATACATGATTTTAAAATATTTTCTCCCATTATGAGAATTGTCTTTTCACTCTCTTGATAGCATCTTTTGTTGCACAAAGTTTTTAATTTTGATGAAATTCAATTATTTTTTTCTTTTAATTTATGTTCATGCTTTTGGTGTCATATCCAAGAATCCATTTCCATTCTTTTGACTTTCCATTCATCATTTTAATGTTTTCTTCTGACATATCTTCCAATGTACTAATTTTGTGTCTAATCTACCTTTAAATCTATTTATTAAATTTTTAATTTCATAATTTCACTACTCTGCTAAAATTTTAAATATTTTCTTAAACATATTTAGCATATTATTTTAAATTCTGTTCCTCATTGTTTTGTATTCAGTATTCCCTATGAGACTATTTTTGGTTTATATGGCTCCTCTGATTTATTTTGTTCACGTTATCTTCTCTCTGTTATTGTTAGTTAAGGGCTAGATGCTGTATGTGATAAATTATATAAATAATTTGAGACCTATGGTCATATTACCTTCCTCCACAAAGATTTATGTTTGTTTTTAGCAGGCACTAGGAATCCAGTATTGCCTTAATTTAATTTTATGGGAAATATTGAGAGCTGAATTTTAGTCCCTGTGAGAGCCAGTCAAGTTTCAGTTCATCTATACTTACTCCTAGAGTATAGTTCTGTGGGCTTTTAACAAAAGTGTTGGAGTTTTGCCAGCTCCACTTTGACCCCTTGCTGGGCCTTAGACACCACACATGCAAACACATGTGTGTGCACACACACAATATATATATGTATGTGTATATATATATAATGTAAAAATTTATGTATGTAAATTATGTCTTATATATGTAAATTATATATATATATATATATATATATATATATATATATATATAT